TTTGTAACCTAGGACTTGCTTGTCCTCAGTGCACAGAAATTAGATCAATCTGATACCATATATATATATTTTAGAAATGATTTGGAAAATATTTGAACACCTTGTCTTAAAATATTTTATTCATCATGTTAAAATAAAACGTTCCATAGTCAATTTTTTAAATTTTATTTTATTTTTTCAATTTTTCGGAAAAAAACAAAAACTTCAGGAAAAAAAACGGGGAAAAACTGAGTTTTTTCCCGAATTTTTCCGGTTTTTTTCCGGGCCTTCACATCTCTACCTGTGAGGCAAAGGCAGTGAGTTTTCCCCCGTTTCAGGTTGAGGAGCAAAGGAAACAAGAGGGGAAATGGCGCTTTGCTGACATTTTCTGAGGGCTTTCCGGGGAAGGGAGAGCTCACATCTCTAATGATTGCTATAAGCTGAGTTCTGCTGATTCCTGCCAAATTTTTGCCTGCAGTACTTCAGAATCGGCATCGCCATCTGCCTGGTAGAGATGCAGGGCTCCACGATCCGAGAGGCAAAAGGACGCAGCTTCGAGCTCATCACCCCCCTCAAGATCTTCAGGTAACACCCGCTGGGTCAGGCTGCAGGGCCTCTTCCTGCTGGAGCCCCGCTCCTTCTGGCGGGGCAGAGTGTTGTCCGCTCCACATATGGGAGGGTGGAGAGGGATTGTGGGTTGTTTGGAAGGCTGAGGGCAGGTCCTCAGGCTTCTGGTGCCTCATCCCAGGGATCTGGGCTCTGTGTAAAATGAGCAGTAGCACCTTATTTATTTATTTACTTGATTTTTTCCCCGCCGAGGCAAGCTCAGGGTGGCTTGTCCCTCATGGCAGCCCCGGAGCATTTGGAGCTTGAGGAGTTGCACAAATGGACTTTGGGTGTGTGGGGAAGGGGTGTGTGGGGAGGCTCGGTCTTGCTGGGGTTTCTCACCCTAAATCCGGAACGTGCTCGAATCTGGGAGAACCAGGTTGGATTCCCCACTCCTCCACATGCAGCTGCTGGTGTGACCTTGGGTCATTCATAAGTTCTCTCAGAGCTGTTCTCTCAAGGGCAATCCTCGAGAGAGCTCTCTCAGCCCCGCCTACCTCACAGGGTGGCTGTTGTGGAAAGGGGAAGGGAAAGGGATTGTAAGCCGCTCTGTGAGACTCCTTCGGGTAGTGAAGGGCGGGGTATGAATGCAATCTCTTCCTCCTCCTCCTCCTCCTCCCTCCTCCTCCTCTTCTTCTTCCCCCCTCAGCTTTGGTGCGGAGTCTGAGCGGGAGAAGCGGGAGTGGATGGAGGCCTTGCAGAACTCCATTGCCGAGACGCTGTACGACTATGAGGTGGCTGAGAAGATCTGGTCGAACAAAGCCAACCGCTTCTGCGCCGACTGCCGCGCCCTGAACCCTGACTGGGCCTCCGTCAACCTGTGTGTGGTAATCTGCAGGCAGTGCGCAGGCGAGTGCCCCTGGGGTGTGTGTGTGTGTGTCTGGGTTGCAGTTGCATTTCAGCAAGCGAGAATAAAGTGGTGAGGCTGAGGAGGGATGCTGAGGACGCCTTCCTGCATTGCAGGCAACTGAAGGTTGTCACAGATCTCCTCCCCCCCAACATTTAGCTCACTCCCTTCCACCTGCCCCCCTCCGGGTCGGTGCCTAGGGTTGCCAGCCTCCAGGTGAGGCCCAGAGACCTTTCCACTGCTAGAACTGTTCTCCGGACTACAGAGTTCAGTTCCCCTGGAGAAAATGGCGGCTTTGGAGGGCGGACTCTATGGCATTGTGTACTACCTGAGGTCCCTCCCCTCCCCAAACCCCGCCCTCCTCAGGCTCCACCCCCAAAACCTCCAGGTATTTCCCAGCCCGGAGCTGGCCACCCTGTGATGGTGCATGAGCCAAGTACCAATGGAGATGGGCCTCACAGGGAAAGCTTAATCCAGTTTGAGCTACTTCTGCCCAAACTGGCCCCGAGTCAGGTTGCAACCCACCACCACAAGAAAAGTTCTGGTTATGGTAATTTCCCTGGTACACTGGTAGTAAGAGGTGGTCTCCCATGTGAGAGAGACAGAGGGTGTCCAGCTCACCCTTCATGGCTGCTTGCACCCATCTCCACTAGAGAGCCAGTTTGGTGTCGTGGTTAAGTGCGTGGACTCCAATCTGGGAGAACCGGGTTTGATTCCCCACTCCTCCACATGCAGCTGCTGGGTGACCCTGGGCAAGCCGTAGTTCTCTCAGAGCTGTTCTCTCAGGAACAGTTCTGAAAAGAGCTCTCTCCGCTCCACTCGCCTCACAGGGTGTCGGTTGTGGGGAGGGGAAGGGAAAGGGGATTGTAAGCCGCTCTGAGTGAAGGTCTGGGTATGAATCCAATCTCTTCCCTTCTCTTCTAGAGACCGTCTGTTATGACCTGAGTCTTTGTGTAGCCTGAGCCATCACATGGCACAGATGGCTGCAGTCGTTCCTCTAAGAGGGTCCCTCTGCCGCAGGGATCGGGCCTTGTTCTATTCCACTAAACTGCTGCTGAAACAGGAAGCGCAGGTGAGAAGGACATCACAGAAAAGGGAAATAGAGCAGGACGCCTCTAGAGAAAGTAGAAATAAAACAGTGCTGGCTAGAGAGTAAACTTGCGCTCTTCTAATTGTCCGTCCCCCCTCCCGATTGTTTGAGGCGTAGGTCAGTCTCTGCCCATCTGTGAATGAGCTTAAAGGTAAAGGTTCCCTTGCTCGAAAGCCAGTCGAGTCCGACTCTAGGGTTGCGGTGCTCATCTCCGTTTCAAAGCCGAAGAGCCAGCGCTGTCTGAAGACGTTTCCGTGGTCATGTGGCCGGCATGACTAAACACCAAGGCGCACGGAACGCTGTCACCTTCCCACCGAAGTGATACCTATTTATCTACTTGCAATTTCTTGCTTTCGAACTGCTTGTTTGGCAGGAGCTTAGTGAGGCGCATTTCCCCAAGATCCCAGGGTTTGGCTAGAGCGGACGGAGTCCTAGACAAAGGGCACGTGGCTGTACAGGGCTGCACAAACTTGGATCTGAAATAAGCTCATCCACAGATGGGCAGAGACTAACCTACTCCTTAGACAACTGGGAAGGGGGACATTTAGCGGAGTGTAAGAGAGAGCCAGCGTGGTGTCATGGTTAAGAGCGGCGGACTCTAATCTGGAGAA